CTACTTGAGATTTTCTACTACAATCTGACAACTCATGCCTCGGCCAAATAAATTCTGAATTAACAGGTCTGGGAAGGAGTCTAAATACATTAACTTTTGTAAGTACCTTAAGTGATCCTTAGGATCAGGGAGTTTATATAGTGTTTGTAATTCTGGATAGAATGTGAAGTTCTTAGAGATTCAGGACAGAGTATGTAGTTCTTGAAGATTTAAACTCAGCTGAAGGGTACTTGGAAATATGTGATTGTACCAGAGACTTGACTTAGTCTTGGCCAGGTTAATGAGAGAATAGGTCCTGATCAGAAACAGTATAAGAGGATATTTCTGACCAAGGTGTGAAGGTAATGTCATTGACAGGTATTACTATTATATGACATCTTAAGAAGTCTCGGGAGCTGGAGAAAAATGGGAGCAAAAGTACACCAAAGTGTAGCTATGCACTTAGAAAATCCTGTTTCCTTTGCTTGTATTCTCTACATATCTTCTTCTTTAACAAATAAATAAAAAGAATCTAGTAGAGAGATGTAGAAACTTAGTAACTGCTAAGTTTTTTTAAGTACTTACTATGTTCCAGATAATGGTCTAAAAAAAAGTATTTTACAAATATCATCTCATTTAATTCTTCCACAACCCTATGTGATGAAGAAATAAGCATAAAAGTCTAAGCAACATACCCAAGCTCACACAGTGAGTGACAAAGTTAGAATGTGAAACCAGATAGAATCAACTAATATAAGGACAATGCAGAAAACATATCTGCAAAACAGCTGACACTGTACTAAATACCTTTAAAATATTTGCTCAGATGTTTTTAATATTATGTATACTTTTATCTTATAAAAGCTTAGTATTCAACCAGATTTTCTCAGTCTGATCTTCATTTCTCACCCTGTCAACATTCTCTGGTAATAGCAGCTGCAATAGCACCAACAAAAAATCCCTCTTGACAATTTACTGATTGGGTTGAAATGAATCTGATTTTTTCATAATTATAAATTGATTTTGTCATAATATGCAGGATTTAGTTGAAGCATTTTAATTAAGTAGTTTGAGCCTTCACAGCCTGATTTTCACACAAAGGCAACTTTTTCTAGGCTGGTATTTCAGTGAAGTTTGTCCCCAGGTTGAATTCACAAACTAAAGCCAAGATTGCTGACAGCCTATTAGCATGTTAGCAGGAATACAACACAGCTCACTAAAACACTAGGACATCCACATATGAACTACTATTAAACTAAACTGTCACTAAACCTGCTTGTGTGTGTGTGTGTGTGTGTGTGCAAGCTACAGATGAGTTGAAAGAATGAAGGAAGAATGAACTTAAGACTTTCCAGCTTGCTGGAATATTACAGAATATTTACTTTGTTGAATGTTTTTCTCCTTGGAATTACAATATCTACGGACTTTCTGAACCATCATCTGTCACAGATAAAAATGTTCAGAATTCTGGGCCCAAGGACTGAGCTCTTTCTTCAGCATATCTTCAGAGGCTGCCGTCTAGCTCGGTACTAATCCATTAATCACCAGCATGAAAATGATGCACTTAACTGCTCTAATATCCAGTCCACATTCTAGTTGTGTCTACAAGGATACTGTGAAACAATCAGACAATGTTTTGTTGATATCAACTCATACCCATGGCGCTCATCTAATCTAGTATTTCAGCGGTTTAATCTGAAGAGGAAAAGTAAGTTTTTCTTTCCCCCATAAACCTGTTCTGCCTATTACTGTTCACACCACCTTCTGATCCAAGAAATTCTAACTTATCTTTTTCATATATTGATTTGGAATCATGAAGAGCTCTTCAGTGAGCTGTAAGAAATGTAGGCAATGAGTCCATACTCTCAATTACCTGATTTAAAATCTTGAGCCTAAACCAAAGTGACTACAAATGGACTGATATTTTCTTGATACTGAGTATTGCACACAGATTTTTATTTCTAAAACAATGCTTTTATCATGTCATTTTATCTCAATACATGAAATTTAAATCAGGAAAAGAATTGCATATCTTCAGTTTCTCAAGATAACTGATTATAACTGAAAGCATAACATATTTGTGGTTTTAAATATTTTGAAAATGAATTCAATTAGGTCTGATTATTTGAACCCATTTATAACAGTCAGATGTTTGATCTATTTATTTTTATATATTCAATTTCTTCTTAAAAATAGTTTTATGATAAAAGAAGTATGAGCTCATTCCTCAAATATAAAACAAAGCCCACATAAATATATACAATAAAAAGTAAAAGTATCTTGTTCTACTTTATCTTCATTCTTCCTGGAAGCAATCATTATTAAATCTGTAGAGCAAGGGGATAATGTGATTAAATAATCTATACAAGAATATTGTTATGGCTGTGGTATGCAGTTACATGGGGAATTGTTTTTTTGAGACAGGGTCTTGTTCTGTAGCCCAAGCTGGAGTGCAGTGGTATGATCATGGTTCACTGCAGCCTCGACCTCCTGGGCTCAATTGATCCTCCCACCTCAGCCTCCTCAGTAGCTGTGACTACAGGTGCGTGCCACCACACCCAGATAATTTTTGTACTTTGTTTTTGGTAGAGATGGGGTTTTGCCATGTTGCCCAGGCTGGTCTCAAACTCCTGGGTTCAAGCTATCCACTCGCCTTGACCTTCCAAGATGCTGGGATTACAGGTGTGAGCCATTGTGCCTGGCCTATTTAAAGAATTATTGATAAGTCTTTTCTCCCTTTGCACTAATCTGAGATTTTGAATAAGAAAGTGTAAAACATAATTTCCAAGGTTCAATCTCTATACCTTCAGTTGAATGAGGAATTCTTAAATAATGTGTGTATTTTTGACAGGGGATGTTTTTTGGGTAGGCAAAATAAAATCAGTTCATTAATCAATACTTCGTTATTGGTTATTATATGAATAAGTGAAAAATGCTGTACATATATTTATATACTTTGCAGACAAAAGACTATTTCAGGGCCAAATGGAGTAGTTAAAGGGATATGTAAATATATATTTAAATACACTATACCAGAGTTTATCTCACAAGAAAAATGAGTGCCCATCAAAAGAGAACAGTGAATTTTGACACCTATCCACTGAAAATAAAACAACAAAAGTCAAGTCATGCTATCAATCAAAAAAGCATTTTTCTAATCTCTCAGATAAATGAAAACAATAAGCGTAAAAAGTAAGGTTAGTTCTAGGACACATGCTAAAATTAATTCCTTGCCTACATGTTCTTAGTTTGGATTTAAACCAACACTATTCAAATTTTAATAATTTAACAGAGGCTTAGGTCATAATCTCCTCTCCCCATTTAAAATCCTTTAGTTTTAAACTGATAGCATTATGCTGAAAACACAATGGAGAATGGTTTGGGACACATTTAAAGAAGTTACCATTTGCAAACTCTATTATAATTTTTCCCTCAAATAGTCAAAAGAGAGATGAAACTGTAAATCAACATTAATCAAATTTAAAGATTATGCTTTTGATAGGAAGAAAAATAAGCAGTAAGCACTTAATGAATTTAGTAATGTTTGTTATTCGATGTGAATAAAACAAAGTTTATTCATCTTTCACATTTATTTATTTACATTATTTACTTACACTATCAACAAATACGTATTGAATACCTATTATCTACCAGGTATTATTGTTTGATATATTGTTGAAAATACATCAGTAAATGAAATAGACCAAGTCACGGTCCTTATAGAACTTACACATTTTACCAGGGAAGACAGACAAAAACACATATAAAATAATTTTCAGATGGTGATAAAAACTGTAAGAAAAACTAAAGTGGAATAAGATGTTAGAGAATTACAGGTTAGGGGGATACAGACAGATATGAGTACAGGAAAATTTCAGACTCTGAAATTCCTATAATTGACCACTATAGATGACGAAAATGTCCCTTACTGAAAATGAACCTACATTTTGTATTCAACATAATTTCAATTTGCTTAACACTTCCTGTATTCCAAATCACCTCTTAGAGAGCATTCTTTTATTTTTCTATCTTAGTTTTTCTTCTACATGTGCAATCATTTTTCTCAGCATACTTTTTCATTAAGATTGTTTCTAAGAGTATACTTCCGGTGATATATATTGAAAGTTTAAAACCTTTTGAATTCTGAATTGATGAAATAAAAACGCTTGATAATTTGGCAATCTTAAAGGATCAATGACATTTATTTAAAGAAAAATATCATTAAATGGAAAAAAACCCTGGCAAGTATTTAATGGTAAATAATGAAATTAATTTACATAGAAACTGTTTGTTGACCTAGAGAAAGCCTAGCAAATGATGAATGTTGTTTTTAGTGTATACATGTATATGCGTTCCTGTGGGATGGCAAAGGTAGTAGGGATAAGGAAACATTTTAAGTTCAAAGATTCTTAACTTTAAACAAATAGCTGGATTTCCACCAAGAAATGAACACTGGGATGTATTTATATCTCATGCACTTTCTAAAGTCCCCAACTTCCAAAATCACATTATTGTAATTGAGACAGTAACTATATCTTTTTTAAAAGTAGCACCACATTTGGTGATAACTTTTTAAAATGAGTGCTATGATAAAATAATCTTTCATGAAAATCTTTTATAAAAATGGAAGTTTAGAAAAATTATAAAAATATGAAAGCATACGAAATTATTACTATATTAAATATATTTTAAAAGTATCAAACCAATAAATTAAACTTTTATTGACCAAATAGCCCATAAGAATATTTTTAAAATATTTCTTTTTTGGCATAGCATGTGGGTTACAAACAAAGTGTTGGATCCAGACAGCTTATTTCATATTCAAGTTCCACTTCAGCTATATGGTTTGGGGCAACTTAACTCTGTGCCTCAGTTTACTCATCTCTAAAATGGGGATAATAATATCTACCTCTCAGCATTGGTTTTTAGGATTAAATGAGTGCCTAGAAAAAGTATCTAAAATTAAGCAACCGAAGTTAGCCATTAACTCAATATTTTCCTCTCCATATAAACATACTTACTTTTAGGAAAACTTGCAGATCTTGAGTCTGAGTGTGCTGTAGAATGTCTTGCTGTAAATGTTTGAATATAGCTATACAGATATACACTTGATAATCAGGACCAAGGAAAACACAAGTAGCAATATAATGGCAGATTTCTATCCAATCTAAATAATTCCAAAAACACTGGGTTATCCATTGCAGGCAAATCTTTAAAAAAAAAAAAAAAAAGTAGTAAGTTCATTTAAAAACTTATAAAACCACATTTGACTTTTAAAGAACATTAACCAATAACTCATACAAAACCAGTGAAAAGCTTAGCAGTTAATCAAAATACAAAGACAGTCTTCATAGATGCCTAACAAGGATGCTTCTCCTATTTGCTTCAGTTGTGAAAAAAACTTTCACGGCCTTGGAATTTAGGTCTTAAGGGTAACTGATAGTGGTCACACTCCTCATATACCTATTACTCAATGCCTTCCTTATTCATATCGTGCTCCTCTTACCCAAAACACCAATCTGCTCTCTACAGATAACAAATGCTAAGAGACTATTTTAATTCAAAGATGGGAGTTTTTTTTATCTATCCTACCTACAACCACAGATGTATAATTATGCAGATGACAGATTGCTAAATGTTACATTAATGCAAATGGACTCTTCCCGAATCAGAAAACAATTTAAACCTAACAGAATTACATAACATAAAAACCGGGAGCTAATGCAGAGAATATTTCAAAAATGAGACTTTTACAAAAGGAATTTTTTTCCTGTTTATTTTTTGAATAACATTTGTTCAGATTATAAAAGCAATGCGTGCCCACTGTGGAAAACAGAAAAGTTTAAGAAAAAACAATAGCAATGACACAGAGATTATAAATACTGGAAACATTTTGATACATCAATGTTATGGGTAAAGTTGAGCCCCACTCAAAAGATATGTCAAAGCCCTAACCCCCAGAACCTCGGAATATGACTTTATTTGAAAATAAGGTCTTTACAAATGTAATCAGGTTAAAATGAGGTCATTACAGTGAGCCCTAATCCAATACGACCGGTGTCTTTATAAGAAGGGGAAATACATTCACAAAGACAGGCACACAAAAGGAAGACAATGAAAAGACACAAATGGAGAATACCATGTGAAGAAGCAATATGTATCTGCAAGCTAAGATTCTAAAGGCTACTAGAAACCTGGAGAGAGGTAAGTAACAGTTCTTTCCTTAGCAACTATGGAGTGAACATAGCCTTGTTAACACTTTGATTATGGCCTTTTGGCCTCCAGAAGTGTGAGAAAATAAATTTCTGTTGTTTTTAACCACCAAGTTCATGGTACTTTGTTACTATAGTCATAAGAAACGAACACAATTACTTTCCAATATTTTCACTTTCATTTATGATTTACAAATTACTTTACCTTCGATGAAAGATTTCCCTTATTGAATATCTCTTCTCCTTTAGTTTTATGGTTTTTTTTGGAGATGTGGGGAGGAAAAGGGAAAAGATTTAATGGCTTATCTCAATTTGTCATAGGTATAGAGGATACAGATATAGAAATTTTCCTTTTGTGTTCTATCATTTTGTTCTTCTAAAAATACATTCTTGAAAAGGTTCTAAAAGTTATTTTTAATATCCTTGATTCAACTTTTGGGCATGATGATCCTGCTTTTAACTGATTTGAACAAACTAACACATATTACTTTGCTAGAACCACAGGCAGGGAGGCTTAAACAATAAAAAAAAAATTTTCTCTCTATTCTGGAGAAATCCAAGATCAAGCTATTGGCAGGGCTGGTTTCTTCTGCAGCGTCTCTGAGGAGTATAGATAGATGGTTGTCTTTCCCTGTGTCTTCACATGGGCTTCCTTTAGTACATGTCTGTATCCCAATTTCCACTTTAATAAAGACACCAGTCATATTGGATTAAGGTCCAACTTAATGACCTCATTTTAACTTAATTATTTCTTTAAAGGTCCTATTCAAATATAGTCACATTCTGAAGCAGTGGGGTTAGGACTTCAACAGGTGAGTTTTGAGGAGACACAATTCAGCCTATACCAGAGGGTACTATTGAATTTTTGTTTTCCAGACATTATTACTCATATCAATTATTAACCTTTAAATAAGGCTATTAATTCTGTTCTCAGGTGTAAGATTTTCCTTTACAACTATAATGTTTCCCTCCTGTTATGTTCCAAAATCTTTCCAAAGAGCCCATAAGTTTTAACTCAATATTAAATTAGAATGTATCTATGAATACCCAATATTTGTCAACAGGCAGTATATATTAAATTCTCCTTGGTCCTACCTTTACTGTTCACTTGGCATTAATGGGATGCACCTCCCAAATTTCAACATGGAGGGTAGGCTGGCATGCAGAGTACATTACTAAATCTCCATTGCCCCCACCCCAACAAATCCCTGTAATATGGCTCTAGTGGACTGAGGAAGAAGTATCTCCTGCTCCCTCTTGACTAGGCAGACTGAAGCAGTCTGTAGTACTTTGACTAGGAGCAATAATTCTCTAATTGCTGGTTGCCCTGCTGCCAAGATTCTCTCTCTGTTCTTTGCTACAGCTATTAATGCCAATCAACTTAAGGCCATGCTGTATTAATGAAAATCTAGAGTCTCTGAATGGATAAAGAAAGAGAAACAATTCAAGAATGAAAATAAATACAACAATCCCCACAGCTAGAGAAAACGGTTCCTCCCATGCAATTGTTAGTTTCAGGAGTGAATGAGAAGTTGATAAAGATGTGGGATCTCAGCTTCTGTCCACCATCTACATTGGTTAAAAGAAAGTCACCCTAGAATCTTCAACAGTTCATTATTATACATAGTTTCTAATGCAGTTGTAATTTTTTGGCATGTATATACATTCAAGCATTGTTGTCTGTACACTGAATTTTTCTTCCATTAAATGGATATAATACCTATGTTTTCCCATCACATGGGAAATTTCGAGGAGGAAAACTGAGAGACTGTAACTGAAAGTACTTTGAAAAAGTGCTATATGTTATAACAAAGGTATAGATGTTATTATTTAACAAATATTTCTTGACCACCTCATATGTACAAGGTAATATTACCATTTTTTATGGGAACAAAAGACATTTATCCCTGTTTCACAAAGTTTACACTTAAAGGGGTATATACATACTTTTTAAACATATGACCCTCTTCGCTTGGTAGAAATTATATTGGCTTTACTATATTTGCAAGTACTTCAGACTTACATTGAAATAGCAGAATTCCAAAACACTGTATCCCTGGAAGAATGCTGAGCTATGAGTTATAAATTTTAATCTCTGAGCAAGTGACTTCTATATATATATATTTTTTTAGACAGTCTCACTCCATCACCCAGGATAGAGTGCAGTGGTGCAATCTCAGTTCACTGCAACCTCTGCCTCCTGGGTTCAAATGATTCTCATGCATCAGCTTCTTGAGTAGGTGGGATTACAGGTGTGCGCCAAGACCCCAGCTAATTTTTGTATGTTTGGTAGAGACAGGGTTTCACCATGTTGGCCAGGATGGTCTTGAACTCCTGACCTCAAGTGATCCACCTATCTCAGCCTCCCAAAGTGGTGGGATTACCTGCATGAGCCACCACACCTGGCCACTTTCGTATTTTTATAAAGTTCTGCAAATCAACTGACAACCTAGAATTCTAATAGGACAGAGGAAATAGTATGTGTCCAAACAGACATGATGTAGTTTTTTCTTTAACATTATGGAATTTTTAAAAACATATATAAATGAAGATAGAATAGTACATGAACTAGACAATTTCAAATTTTGATTGGTTGATATGTGTCTTAAGTTCCTTTTCCCCTATAGGTTCCCCTCCTTTCCTGCATCCCTTTCTCCTACTAAAGATGTTTCCTCCAACTGCATAGTATTCCACTGTAGATAAACCACAATTTATTCAACTAAGCTCCATCCATGGTCATTTGCAGTGTTTCTAGTCTTTAGATACTATAAAGAATACTATAAAAACATATTTGTGGATATGTATTTTCAAATTTTTTCCCTGTGTATTCCTTGCTTAGAGCTCTACAAATGAGACTGCTGTGTTAAAGAATAAATGGACATGTAACTCTGTCAGAAAATGACAAATTACCATTCATATGTCTCAAAAATATATTATTATATTTTCAAAAACAATCAGTTGAGTCTTTATATTTATTGGAAAAAAATGCTATTATCAATAGTAATGAAATAGGCTTATAAAGAAAGTGAAACAAATGAATTTTGTTTTATGGTAAACCACCATTCCATACGTAATGTAGAACTAATTACACTTTAAGACATTTAAATAGCTTTTTAGACTTGTAAGGAAGGAAAATCACTTACATAATATGCATTAAAATCTACCACAGCTCTCCTAGGCAATTTTGTTCTTGAACCATACTTAAGATTATGCCAAAGGACATTAAGATGCCACACTGAGGTGCACATTATTTTATCTGAGATAAATTATTCCTCCTTGTAACTAGAATTAAAAAACAATCTTCAAAGGTTCTCATAAGAACATTAAGTCTTCCTCTTTTCCTATTTGAATACCCTTTATTTCTTTCTCTTGCCTGATTGCCCTGGCCAGAACTTTCAACACTATGTTGAATGGGAGTGGTGACAGAGGACATCCTTGTCTTGCGCCGGTATTCAAAGGGAATGCTTCCAGTTTTTGCCCATTCACTATGATATGAGCTGTGAGTTTGTCATAAATAGCTCTTATTACTTTGAGATAGGTTCCATCAATACTTAGTTTATTACAAGTTTTTAGCATGAAGGGGTGCTGAATTTTTCTGTATCTATTGAGATAATCATGTGGTTTCTGTCATTAGTTCTGTTTATGTGATGGATTACATTTATTGATTTGCGTATGTTGAACCAGTCTTGCATCCCAGGGATGAAGCCAACTTGATCGTGGTGGATAAGCTTCTTGATGTGCTACTGGATTTAGTTTGCCAGTATTATATTGAGGATTTTCACATCGATATTCGTCAGGCATATTGGTCTGAAATTTTCTTTTTCGTGTGTGTCTTTGCCAGGTTTTGGTATTAGGATGATGCTGGCCTCATAAAATGAGTTAGGGAGAATTCCCTCTTTGTCTACTGTTTGGAATAGTTTCAGAAGGAATGGCACCAACTCCTCCTCAAACCTCTGGGAGAATTTGGCTGTGAATTGGTGTGGTCCTGGACTATTTTT